TCAAATAGGTTTGCTGCGTAGCACCGTGATAACACAATATAAACAAAATAATAAAAGTGCTCAGATAAGAACATAAGATGTTATTATATTATAAATAAATCCCTTCAACGAAAAGTTCCTTTTTCAGTTGTATGTAAGAAAAAGTGTCTGTAGCGGTAGGCCTATTTGTCTTTATCAGGGTGTCTGTATCCAGGCGAGTATCATATCGTTAGACCATACAGACATATACGATATAGGCACACATCCATTTAGCAATCCCTTTCATTCAACTGACAACTGACATAATAGTAAAGCAATTGTTTATAGGCTTGATATTAATAATCATATGTTTTATTGTTAACGCCACTGTTTGACTACCTATTTATATTTTAGCATTGATATGCTAATGTTTTTATAAACACTTAATATCCTATACTTGTATTACTGATTTATTCCCGTATTTGTTTTGTATACTAGTCCCCGTTGATTTTTTTCTAGAAGTTATCAGGAGAGCCTCTCGACAGTTTGAAGTTATCATCTACTACAAAGGCTGACTAAAATAATTTAATTTACTACATAAGCCTACAGGTTTTATGATGGATCATTAATAACATAAGATATCATGTTTTGAAAGATGTACTATCAGTCATGAGGTAAAAATATGAACAATTTAATTCCACATATAATTTTGCTTAATTTGTATATTATATAGGCCTACTGTAGTTATTAACTTAAAATTAAAAATTTTAATTTTTGAAAACATTACCGTCAATTTTCGGATGGTTAAATAATTTTTTCATAGATCCTTAAATTCTCTGGTATTCAATTTAATGAATTTTGTAGTAAAATATTTGTAAATCGGTGAAACTACTTTTATTTTTTCAATCTGTTTCTCGTTTAAAGCTAATAATTTATTTAAACCTTTCAAATAAGCTATTCAAAATTGTAGGTGAATTAATCAGATATTTTCCTGTCTTTTTGACTGATAGTACATTTTTAAGTTACAACTGTAGGAAGTAACAAATGTCTCACAAGCACTATCATCATGTGGATAGATTATTACTATTTGCGCCATTTGATGTATTGGCCTAAGTATATAATTATTGTATTGTTTTTAAGGAATTCAGGTTTTCCGAACGTGCATAGTTCTTGCATTAGCTGTTTTTATCATCATTCTTCGTGTTTTTCCAGTGTTAAATGATGCTGAACAAACACATCAGAATTTACAACGACTTTTGTCTCATTTCAGGTTTGGATTGATGCAGCTACTCAAATCTTCTTCTCGTATGGAATCGGGTTAGGTTCACTTATTGCACTGGGGAGCTATAACAGTTACCACAACAATGTATATGCGTACGTTATTTTGATTATATTTAATGATTTTTCCGATGAAATGTCGAAGATAATCATTAGTGTTTCTTCAGAAAAGATTATCTTCTTTAATTTTCATTATTGAAAAATTTGTATATATAGGTCCGCATTCATTTATAAATGTGTTCACTGTTACTACTACTAGACTACGTTCATATTCAGAAATCCAATATATTATGTAGTTAGATTTGCAAAATAACCACGCACGTTTCATTTTAAGTCCTGTTCATGTTAAGATCACTTAATTTATAGCCAGTTAAACACGCCCGTGTGATTTGTATGACTGATTGATGTTTACATCGTGTTGTCACGTGGTCTGTTGTTGTAGGAATAATACTATAACGAGCTAACTCGAGCTCATAAGTCGATTCTTTAAAAATTAACTGAATTATGAATGACTTGCTCATTAGAGATTGTTTGTAATATGCTGCATATTCTATAAATTCATTCATTAAAGATGTATTGTCCCTTGAAAATAACAAATAATGATTGAAAAAAATATATTTTTGAAATTACCTTCTTCATTTTTAGTACGGTAACCTACAAATTATTAACTTGAGAATAGAAATTAATTACTGGAAGTGTTTCTATCGTTTTTACTGTAAGATTATGGGTGAACATTGTTTTTAAATACACTAATTTCTATGTTAAAGTTAATAATTGTTATCATCATCATTAAAGGCGCATCGCCGAAAAGTCAAGCGACAGTTCTGCTTCGGCCGTTTTACTTAGTTCCTTGATGAGCATTTTCCATGTCTGTTCTGTGCTAGTGTCATTGTCAATTTGAAGTAACGTAAAAATTATCAACTTGAGTAAATTTATAATTTTGTGGTAAAATTATAGGTAACCATTTTGTTAAAATTAACTAACTTAGGCTTATTTCAAAAAGAGCAAGTTTAATGAGTTTTGCATGGGACAATGTAGTCGATTGGGGTGACTTTAGCAGCCGGGATCAATATTTTGTCAGCACCATTTTTGCTTTTTTTCGGGGGTTTTTTTCTGTACAATTTCCTTTCCGTTTTTTAGGTTAATGTCCATGTTTCCACTTCCTAATAAAATATTTGAAAGGATGCATTTGTTTTAGGCCAATCGTTTCTTGAGGTATATTGTGAGGTCCTTTTATTGATTGTGTTGTACCTGCCGAATATCTGCTTCTTTTGTATTTCACTGTCTTGGTTGGTTCATGTCTCGAAAGGAGAAGAAGCATTCTCTACAGCTTATGGAGCCACCACTTTCACGTGTAGACTATAAAGCTTTGTTTCCATAGAATCACTACACGCTATCGCTGGCAGCTTTCGGTGATGCTGATTGGTCAATCGAATCGGGGAGTCTTCCCGATTGCGTGAGGGACTGCTACGCAGTACAAGTGCATTAAATACACTGTAGCGTTTTTAAGAAAATAAGGCTTTGCTACCGACATTCCGGCGCCGCGGCGATGCTACAGCATAGTTACCGACGTGCGCTAATTAATTAAAATCTTTTTTTGCTGTTGCTCTGCTAGTGAGATTTGAGGTATTATTTATAAGTATGCTAAATATTAATGGTAAATTGATATTGACAAATATAACATTGCATTGTTTCCATTATACAGGGATGCGCTAATCGTGGCATGTGTTAACAGTGGAACAAGTATATTCTCTGGCTTTGTAATATTCTCTGTCATAGGTTACATGGCGCGTACGCAAAATAAGTCGGTGTCAGAAGTAGCAGATTCAGGTAAGTTTATGTGGACAGGTGCAACGGTATTTATGGAATGCTTTTGTAAATATGCTAATTATCAGAAGTTGAAAGAATGTCATATAGAGGTATAATGACTCCATACCTTGGAATAAAGTGTGGAATGAGAAAATTAAGAAAATTAAAGATAGAAAATTAGCAAAATTTAACTTTAAATTACTTCACATAATATTGCCAACGAACAAAATATTGTATAAATGGAAAATTTATAAAATTCTCCAAATTGTGATACGTGTTTTACAGGAGATGAGGAACACATGATGGCAATTTTTTTTTTCTTTGTACATTTCGAAAGTGGGTCCGGCATTACCCCCTCCCGCTGCTGAGATTTCTAGGTCTATGTACAGTATTTTATATTATCTTCAAATCCAAATGAAAAATTAAATATATAGAAGATAGTAGTAAGATATTAAATATTTAAACACATGAAGTTTTTTGTTTTTGTTTTTGTTTTGTTTTGCAATTATACCGTATATCTGTAGTCATTTTTTTTTGTATTTATATATTTAGCTGTAATTTATAATTTCCACAGCTTTCCTGCCATTTAGGTGTTTAATAAATCTTATCTTTCTCTTATATCATCTCTGATAAAATAATAAGACTTTGATTTGTATTTTAATAATCGATAGGTCCAGGTTTAGCATTTGTAGCGTATCCCTCAGCTGTAGCAGAGATGCCTATCTCACCGCTTTGGGCTTGCCTCTTCTTCTCTATGTTATTCATGCTGGGATTGGATAGTCAGGTAAATAAACTAAACATAACGTAACCAGGAAAAGTCACAACGAATAATCCTTCCTGATTCCTGTCAATCAAATTGACTGTTGACTATTTCAATATTGCCTTCAATTTATATTTGTTTCTGACATCCGTTAACGACAATTAGGTTGTAGCAACTACTTTCCTATTTTTTTTTTTTTTTTATTTTGTGAGAGTAAATG